CTGGAGGCTAAAATTTTATTGTTGGAACACACTTTTTTCTATACATTAATCATTTATAGTATATAGGTATAGTTCGACCGCCTCATCCGCGACCATGAGCGCAAACCCGCATGCGCCATACGGACCAAATTATTCTCAAAATAGGGTGGAAGGATGGGAACTTTCTTTTCCTCTAGCATAGCTCTTTACGGAGAAGAGAAGACCTTGTGGCAGCAAATAATACCGCCCCTTTTGGATGATTCTATGTGTTTTGGCAGAATGCCAACCAGGGTTGCGCTTGAGACAGTCGAACTATACATATGTAACTACAACAGTATATTATCTACGAGGGCAATCCCCCAAAAAAGGTCTCCTATTTTTTGGGGACGTAGAGAAAGTTTTAATACGGTTGTTGGCACACTGTTGAGTGGTGCCTTCTTCCGCTACCACATAAACCCCCAGGCGCTTCGCTCGGATGCTCAGTCTTGGCTTGGCGGCCATTCGAAATGGAGCCCCGATAAAAACCCGCCAAGTGCGAAGTGCGCCCAGTTATTCAATTTTTGAACGCAAAAGCGTTAAAACCGGTTGAATTCACCGCCTATTGACAGAAGTGTATGAACAGTCTGCATGGATGTCAAAACGTTCGCAAGCGGTGTAGATAGTTTACAGCCGGTCGTACTGAAATTTATGACGAAGAAAGGAGCGGGAGGCCGTCAATTGCCGACGAGTCCCTCAACTTTCGCGATTGTTTAGTTCGTATTCGTTATTTTCGCGATTGTTGAGTTCATAAAATGCGTAAAATCGGAGGATCATCTGGATGCTCCTGAGCTCCTCACGCTTCCTGAAGGGCATGGCGGCAAGCTGGTATACATGGTTTGTAAAACTGTCACCCCACGTCTACAAAAATGCATCGACCGAAATGGCGATTATGTTGAAAAATAAAGCATTCTGCAATCTTTAAAGTGATGTAGCAATTATAGAAAATAAACGGTTCTTTGTATATCTAAGAATCTAGGAGATCTTTTTTGGGTGATTGCCCTCGTAAGTAGTCATAGCAAATGCTGCAGTTACTACATCATTTATTACTGTACTGTTACTTGAGAAATTGTACTCACTGATTCTTTTCAGGTGAAAAATTCCTGCACATTTCGCTGTCATAGACGAGAACGAAAATGCCTGGTAACTTCACTGCTAACTGTACTCATGTCTTCCTTAAAACTAGTGGTCATTTCGGATGTTACATCAACAAGATTTGGGCATTCCCTGTTCCGTGAACTCAATATCACTACAGGTCCGCTTCCCCTTTGAAGCACGTCGTAGAGGTTCAACCTCTACTATTACCCCTCCAGAGGAGCGGCGTACCACCTGGAATTCACCAGGCAGCACTGGTCATCAACAGCTACCTGCCAGTCGCATGGGTGAGCCCGTCGCATAAGGTCATTACCCAGCAAACCGGGGGGTCACCCCCCGGCTACACCAGAGCCGTACCGCTCAGGACATGCCAGACCCGGAGGCGGCAAATGAGTGACCTTTCCCAGGGCCTTCAGAACCAACATAAATTGTATACCCCCGTGACCGAGACTTACTAGGCACAGATCCTAGCCAGTAGCTTCGCAGAGTTCTCTACGTCGACCCCCCGGGAGGTTCGGATGTTACAGGAAAACGTTCTGAAGCGTTCAAGGCGCGTAACATTTCCTGGCGGGTAGGCGGTATGATACTGTTCTCACTTTATTCTAATGGCATATCGGTACTCTTCTGTTATCAGGATCGGAATCAAAAATGTATGAATGTACGCACGTGTGTATATGTGGGGTATTGCTTGTTTGAAAAGTTTTCATTTTAGAATTTTTTAAATTCTTTATTGTATTTACAGGATCATTTGAAACTTATTAATTATGAATTTCGATTTTTGATCTTTGTGAAAAATTAGCTCTAAATTTCTTTATATATGTATGTGGGTATATATGAGTGTCATACACACATATACATAGCACGTCCATATATACATGCATACATGAACACACACATCCATACATACATTTCTGAATCCGGTCCCGATAACAGAACAGTGCCGACGTTTCCTGCATCTGAGAGACAACTGATTTTACTGGATATGTAAAGTCTTCTTGTGTGTTCTTTGGAAGCGTAAACTGTAAGCGCTATTGAAAAAGGAAGTAGCTAATTCTTGCTAGGTCTTAGAAGAACAGATTACTTCAGACGAAGGCTATAACAACCTTTTGATTTTAGCTAAAATGAACAGAAAATGCACACACTCGGTGCTCACAATTTAAACACCACTTGTGGCTAAGTAATTTGGACACAAAATAGTACGTACAGTGCAATGAATTAAATTTTAGCTACACGATTGGCTTCTACTAAATCCAAACCGCTTCATCGGCTGCATACAGCAAAGTTGAGTCTAGAATATCTAAAGTAAGTGGTTAACACCAACTATTCAATTACAGGACTACAAGCACACGGCATAAATGCAGAACTAACTCTCCCACTGCGAACACTTAAAATCTGCCACTTACCAAACTCACTTAGATTTCCATATACATCATTAAAATTTGCATTCTGGAAAGAAACTGAAATCAGAAGGGAAAGGAGAGTTTTTGAAATAAAAATAATTGGTTAGAACAAAAGATCTTTACAGAGCATACACGATTAGATCGCCACCTGCACGAACAAACTCCTCAAAACTAACACCAGGGTTCGCATCATCTTAATTAAGAATTACTCGATTTAATATTAGTCGTATTGGAGAGCAATATTTCCCCAGGGTCCCCAGGGGAGTCTGCTTGGACCCACTTTATTCAATATTTACGTGAACCACCACACAGAACATAATACTTGCAATGTATGCAGACGACACTGCGATCCTCTTAAAAAGTGCATTCATTAGCCCAGCAATACAACGACTACAAGACTACATAAACATACTCGAGACTTGGCTGACAAAATGGAAGATGTTTTAATGACAAAATGGAAGATGTTAATGTTGATAAGACTCAAGCAATCCTTTTTACCAAGAAGAACAAATTCAATAAAAACCTGCAACTTTACAGAGAAGATATCCCATGGGCCAAGCAAGTCCTTTATCTTGGGGTGATCCTCAGTAAGACTCTCTCATGGTATCCACACATAACATCTATCCTTAAAACGTTTCGAGTTAGTGAAGCTACACTTCACGCCTTAATTTCTCGAAACAGTGTACTTTCAATACATAACAAGTTGCTTATTTATAAAACTGTATTGCGTCCCATACTATGTTATACCTGCCCGGTTTGGACATATTCATGCAAGTCATATGGGAAAAACTTACAGCAAACACAAAATTGTGTCCTAAGACAGATCAGCAACTCGCCCTGGTACGTTCGAAATAAAAAACTTCATGATGAATTAGGCATTGAAGAAGTGAAATATTTTATTGCCGGCTTGCTCGGAATTTTTATGCTAACCTCGCAAGTATCAACAACCCTGTTATAAGGGTCTACGATTATGATGTAAATGACCCAAATAATTGTAAACGGCCTATGGCCATACTTAGTACTCATATTGTTTAATTTGAATTACTTTACCTGTACTGTACTTCATGACTTATGCTATGATTTAAGTGCACCAGTTGACTCACACTATCTGTATTGTATGTATTATATGTCTCTTTAGGGCTCAGGTTAAAGCCAGCTCTTTTCCCCTTTCTCAGCTCTCCCAGATGGCATTTTCAGGTCTTTATTGGAACTCGTCGCACACTGTATTTCCGCTAGAATATCTTATTATCTCATTACTCAAAAATTATCATAATTTATCAATATATATATATATATATATTATATCTTACATTAGTTACTCATGACAGCATTCGAAACAACCTACATGTTCGACAAGGGGTAGGGTCCTTGACCCAGGCACCCTGGTGTTACACCGCTTCTAAGTGCGACGACTAGTCGTATTATTTTAGACTTTTAAAGAATAAAAAAGCACATCTGAACACAGAATTGTATTCGCTAACTGAAGTTCACTGTTGACACGATGATTCCCCTCCCCGGGGGTTGACTCAGGAAAATTCCTGGGAAGTACTGGTTAGGATACCTATGAAGTCTCAACTACAGCGGTATATAATTTTAACTTCACAGGACTAGAACCCGTGTATTGTACTCAGGTTGGTTCAGGCTTGGCAGGGACCGTACTGTGTGTTCCTTCGGTTGTGGTGGAGCTAGATTGGAGATCGTCGACCAAGTCCCCGGGGGTTTGACCCCATTCAGTTCTCGTGACGAGGACTGACAGATTGGTCAGAGCGCACTTACGTTTAGCCGATGGAATGGTGCCCGGGCGCAAAATGACTAAGTTCTTTTCATATCTACGATTTGTTTTGCCCAATGCTTTGTATAAAGCCGGGCGGGGACTGCGGGGGTTGCGCCCTCGAGGACGAGGTCCCCTGGACCATAGAATATTATCCTAACTCTGCATGGGTTCGCAAGTCGGACCTGGGTCGGGGATCTATGTTTGTCTGGTGCGTCTGTCTGTCTGTGGACACGATGATAGCGATTGTTGAACAGTGTTACAAATTCTCACTTAAAAGCATAGATTGCTTTTAAAGCATACAGTGTATTCTCTGAAGTTTTCAATCAAATGTGATAGAACATTTCTAAACGCAGCCCCAGCAGAGAAACAACAGGGAAAAAATGCAAATATCTTTAAAATTTGTGTTAAATGAAACATTCCGACCAAGCAACGGACTAAAAAACCGTTCGTAATTCTTGCTAACCGGTGTTCGCGTTATTATATAAAACTTTCAAGATGATTTACATCGTTGCCGGGGCAAAAATTTTGTTCATGTGAATCGAGTATTCGCCTTAAAAAATAAGTTCTTGTTAAGTGCTATTTAAGCAAGTTCGTGTTAAGAGGGATTTGGAATCGGTCATTAAATATCTTCGCAAGGACTATTGATATCGAAATCTATATAAAAAACACTTTCTGTACGAAGAAATCTTTATGAATTGCATAAACAGAGTACTTACCTGAATTTGCCTTTGATACAGAAACCACGAAAGTAAATGTTATTACAATACTGATAATCTTCACACCGCGCATTTTAAACTACCTGAAAATTTTCTTCTCGAAATGGTTCTAAAGGGGATTCTTTGCTTTACCGCAAGCTTCAGAATTTTCAGTAGAATGTCCCAGTAACTTTAGATAGATTTCGACTACATGAGAGCAATAAAATTCTATCTATGGGAGCAATACCTTTAAATTAAAAATCAGTCCACATATTCAACTACAGGCCTATTTTTCCCTACTTCCTATACGCACACGCCACGTACACGTTACGAAAAACTAACAGCTGTTTATTTTTTACCTATATCAGCTCTACGTTGATGATTGAGAATAAAAAGAAACGTCACTTAGTCTTGATGTCCTGATCAATGAACAATAGACATTTAACAGAAATTTCAATTGTTACAAAGACAGACAGATGCAACGTTGATAAGTTTCGACTCTAAAATGGGAGCAAATCATGTCCATATAAAAAATTATGACATCTGAATATCGTATTAATGAACACGTTACGTAAATTTATTGTATACGCAACAAAGCATTAATTACGTGGCTGATTTTACCCATACTGCAGTCCAAATATCTGAAGATGGAAGGATCACATATGGAAGAGATTGGAATAATGCTCATTTTGCTACTTTTTATTTTCATGAGACCGAAATGCCACAATGCATTAAAGAAAACATTCAAAGAAATTTCATAAAGTTTGTAGCTGGAATGCATATACAGTTACATAAGTTAGATATAAGGGTCAGACACGATTACAGTTACATATAGTTGTAAGGATTATGTTAATTTTATTAACAGTTAAATTTTAAGTTTTCCTTTCCTGTCAAATTCTTAACTTCAACTTACTACTTCCGGCCAGAACGTAGTTTTGGAATCTTGCTGAATCTTTAATGAGAAGGAGCGGTATTTAAACCACGAAGTTACTTACAGAGGGAGAGGGAATCAGAGTTTCTGATTTACGCGAGTCTGCCTTTTTGGCCACTCTCTCTCTCAAAGCTGTTATTACGCTCGGCCGTACTCAGGCCCTTGCTAAGCTTCGTATTCAAATAAGTTAAGGGGCCGACTCGATTTGAATCTTGACAGCTTCTGCTATATTTCTTTAGTTAATCTTAGTTTTAGTTTAATTCTTAGTCTCTTAAGTTCAAGCCGGAGTGTCGGCTTTGTTTGTACACTCCCAGGCGGAGATTTGTTAAATCTTATTGGAATAATAAAGGGTTAGTTACCCTTCTATCTTGTTGTTTTTTGTCACCCGAACTTGAGCGATTATTCGCTTATCAGTTCTTAAGATTCTTCACTTCCAACCTTAACTTAGAATTACAAAGTGAGAAACTCTACATGGTAATTAATTACATTTATTTCCTTGCAGTATCAGTTACAGTTATACAGGTACTGAATCAAAATGTCTCCCAATAATCGCCAAGTTTTGGCGACTTTTTATGATTAATTTGATTAATATCGTTTTTATGATGGCGACAAAATTGTAGTTGCCAAAACCATCGGCCGCTTGGCGATATCTCGCCAGTTTAGCGACAAAGACATCCTCAATGTTAAATAGACTTGGCCTGGAATCTTATTTTTGTGGCTGAGCTTTATTTCTTTTCAGACTTTTCATGTTACATCATACAAAACATTCTACAGTTTCGCAAACGATTTCCTTAAATTTATTTGCATATATACAAAAATTTGTAACAACATTTATATGGTAGTTTTTTGTTCATTGTGTTTCAGTACATGTCCTTAATTTATACAATCATCATCTTTTCTGTATACTAACAAGGAGCAATCACATAATAATGCATGAATCATAACAATCGCATAATCAATATATCAATTACCTATAAATTTGTAATTAATTTCATCTCGCTAATTAAACTAAGAAAATAAATATTAACATAAATATGCGTATGTATCTCCATTTTAGTCTACAGATAATTTTTAAAATTGGTTTCTGAATCTGTTAAGTACTAATAAAAATAATGGAATATATAATTATAAATGGATCATTTGTATCTGTGTGACTAATTATATCTTGCAGGGGACACTTAATAAATGCTGCTGAAAAATGCTTTTGAAAATACATATAACCTTATTTAGATACAAATAAGTATTGTGCTTGTTTCGTTCTGCATACATGTGTTCATATGCTCATTCATATGCTCTGTTTTGAATACTGAAGTTGAGATTGTATCTTCTGTATAGCTAGCTTATTGCATAATAAAACATAATATTTACATTAAATAAGGAACAAAACTGCTTATGAAAAATAAGAGAGGGAAAACATAAAATAAATTTTGCCTTTTATTTTAATTAAGTCTTTTATAATTAAGGATGTTAACAGAGAAAGCGAAAAATGTAAGTAGTAAAACATTAACTGCTAATATTTAAAGATGGGCAATTAAATTAATGATATTTGGTAACACAGTTTACAGTTCTCTATTTAAGGAATTTCAAAATTTTCAAAATGCAATTTTGAACATTTGGAATGTCGCTAACATAATCAATTCATGCAATATGGGTATAACATGAAATGCTGGAAAGAAAAGATGCTGTGCTGGAAAAATAAGATTACGGGGGGGTAAGTCTATTTAACGCTGAGTAAATGGCTATTTCAGTAAATAGGCGATGGTTTTGGCAACTATTTTTGTTGCCAAACTTGGTGAGAAATCGCCAAAAGTCGCAAACACAGCTAAAATGTAAAATTTTGAATGAAGACGTTAAAGCAGAAAGCAGATGATGATCGTGACAGAAAATCGTAGTCTCGTGAACAGCACTGAGATAGGGTTAGTAAGAAGAAAGGTTGCTTCTGGTCCCAGTCCTGTTCATTTGGGGAAATCGCCAGCGAGAGATTATTAAGGGATGGTTAGATTAAACCTGTCTACAGTGCCGTCTGACTGGGTATGTAAAGTTGTCGTTTCTTCCACTTTATTTTCAACCTTTTTTATTTTGCTTTCCATAGTCTCGAATTTGTTTTCAATTATGCAGGTAATTTCTCTTTTCGTTTTCTTTTTTGATCCGCTTCAATCTTTTCTAGAACGGATTTTTGACGGTGCCTTCCATCTATTCTTAGCCCGCTTCTGTCTGGTCTTTGAATGCAGCAAAAGCTGCCAAGATCTATCTTAGTTCCTCCTCTATCGCTCTTGTCACCGGCATTCAAATTCACTTCTGACGCTAAAAATTGTTGCGTTCGTACGGGTTCGTAATGGATTGAATGCGCGGAACCGATGATAGATAAAAAAAAAATAAAAGTTTGGATAAAGCTGGATAAAAGCTTTTATCCAGCTTTTATAAGTCCATAAACTTTATCTAGTAATCCATAAACTTTATCCAGCTTATAAGAGCTGGATAAAGTTTATTTTCTCCAATAAATATTTCAGAGTCCTCGAATTTTTCACAGAAATACTCGGACAGCTGTTCACAGTATCAAAGAGTACAATCAGTAGTTACACTTTAAACTATTAAGAGGGTTAAACACAACGTAATGCAAAGCGCATCTGAAGAGCGAAACCCACGTAGAGATATCTCAACACTCCGAACTCACATTGAACTAAACAACTGAGAAACTGATGGTCTTATACAGTTTATATAATTATGAAACTCCGGTCTTATATAGTTTTCCCCAGGCCGCCAAGAAATATCTAGTATCTTCCACTTCTCAAAATTACTGGATGGCAAATGGAGGGCGGATACGTTTACAGTTACACATAATGATAAATTAGACTTATTCATTTGCAGTACCAAAATGCTATTTATACAGGCATTTGTCCAACATTTCGCCATGTTTGGCGACTTTTGGTGATTTCTCAACAAGTTTGGCAACAAAAAATAGTTGCCAAAAGCATCGCCTATTTACTGAAATAGCTATTTACTCAGCGTTAAACAGACTTACCCCCTGTAATTTTATTTTTCCAGCAGAGCATCTGTTCTTTCAAGCATTTCCTGTTATACCCATATTATACGAAAATTACTACAATTTCACAAAAAATTTCTTTAAAATTCTTTATATATGTACAAGGTACGTAATATCCTTAAACTTACAACATGAGTTAGATCATATTGTTGATTATAGCCGTATACTGTAAAAAATCAATACAGTTATACATCATAACCAATCGAGTAAAAATTAAAAACATGACGTATCTTTTTTTTGGGGGGGAGGTCATTATAGGTCTTAAGTACTATTCCTTTACCTCTAATATTTGTTGTAGTGGAATGCCTTCATTTAACTTCCCTGAAAATATTGCATTTGCATAAAAATAAAATACCTATTTATTTTAGGGCCCACCAGCGGCCGAGCGAGCGATAAAGTCGCTGAACACTAGTAGTTTGGTCTGAAGTTCGAATCCCGTGAATGGGCTGGCTGCATGGGCGTTTTCGTGGTTTTCCCCATGTGTAACGTGCATACGAGTCAGTTTCCCTTAGAAAGTCCTCCACGAAGGCATCCCTCCTCTTAGGCACATAGCCCTCGAGGCTTTGCCATAATCACACACACCAACACCAACCTATTTATTTTATATTGAATTTCACAAGAACGTTTATAAGGATATTTATCTGCAATTGCTTTTCGTAAATCTTTTCTGTGTTCCCACGTGTGTTTGAAAATATAAAATCTTAATAATATTTTGTTCCTTCAATAGTTGATGGACAGTGCCCATCTATTTTGCAGGTGCCTTGTGATTTTACGACCTCTTACAAGTTTACTTTTATAATTATAATAGCCAGAGTGATTACAAACTCTTTTTTCCATCTTCTTTAGGAGTTGTAGAACTTTTAAAAAGTAAGAATTTTTTTTTTTTTTTTTTTTTTTTTTTTTGTTCTTCCTTACTTTTCTGTTATAAGAAATCTAAATCTGAAAACCAAACATTAACCTACATATAATATAAATCATTAAACACAGATACTAATTTGAAATTAGGCCCAACAACAAGCTTATTTTGGCATCGATTAAAAAAAATTCTCTATCATTTTCAAGGGCAGTCAGACACTTTTCCCATTCCATCACAGGAAAAAAAAGTTGCAGATTTTTTTCCTCCTGAAGAAAGCGACATGTGTCTGATTACCCTCAAAAGTGGCAGAGTTTTATTTAAAATCTAAGCTAAAACAAGGTTGCAGTTTTTGTCTAGATATAAGTTATACTGGTCATATTTCCTTCTTATTTGACAATTACTA